TTCTTCATTATTTAATTTTTTTAAATATAATACAAGGAGATAATACTTTGTGGCAACAATATGAAAAGGATCGCACCGCTTTTAGTGATTCAACACAAAATGCCCTTTTGAAACTAGTAGCCCTTCTGACTAATACATTCGAAATTCAAAATTCGGTCCTCCAGGTGCTCATATTAGGCTGAAGGACTACGTTATTTAAAATTTGGTGAACCTCAGTTTTTCCACCGTAGTTTTACCGTAATACCGTAGGTACCGTAGTTTTTCCACAATACGAGAAACATACATACATTCATGAAGGTTCTTCATTATTTAATTTCTTGAAATATAATATAGAGCGATAATATTTAGTAGCAACAATTTGAAAAGTTATTCAACGCTTTTAGTGATTCGGTGCAAAATGCCGTTTAAAGATCAATAGCCCTCTTGGGTTAAATTCACTTTGGGCCACAAAAAAAAGGAGGGAAAGTATTAAATGGCTTATTTTAATATTTTTTCTTACAGTTCTCATAGGTTTTTCAAATCACGCAGTGTTAAAATTATTAAAATTTATGAACATATATAGTACCCAGACTTGTTTGTAATCTACTGTGAATATGAGCGTTTCAGAATAATAGAGCAAGCGATTAATAAGCTTTACATTTTTAACAACTCAAAATAACTTATAAAAATTTTCGTTTGTTAAAATAGCTGTAAAAAAGTTTATTTATACATTTCATTTTTAGCTCAGAAACTTTTATTTCTTTACTTTAATCAAATAGCTGAACACACAGAACTTTAAACATATACCAAGGTTCACTTCTAAAGCTTAATTTTTTTAATTTTATTTATTTGCTTACTGGGAAATTCCTTTTGTTAAGCTTCTTTCATTTATTTCCGATTGTTAAAATTCTGATACAATATCCTGAATTTATTACTTATACACTAAACTGATCTGAAATCTGTGATTAACATATGTTCTAATTATGAAATCAGGATTTGAATAAAACTAGGTTATGCTAGGTTACTGGATTAAGATAAGGCACACTTTAGAAAGTGAAAGACTTTCTTGAAGGAAACTGGGTCATGTTTACGTTACACTTAAGTAAAATCACAAACATAACCATGTATCAACACCATTCACCGATATTTGAATTTAGGGTGAACTATCTGAGTTAGGCAATCTTATTCCCCCACCAGCAACCAAGCAGTAAAGTCACTGAACACCGATAGTTCAACCTGATTTCGATTCCAGGCGAACGGGCTGGCTGCATAGGTGTTTTGATAACTTTTCTCATGTGTAATGTGAATAAGAGTCAGTTCTGTTCCGAAAATTCCACCAAGGCATCCTTTCCTTTCGGCATATAACTCTAGCGTACTTTGTCATATTCAAAAAACCAAACTAATGTTCTTATCCACCCAGCCACTAATAGACCAAGATTTCCGTAGAGTAAACAAAACGATTCTAAGATAAGCTGCGTTAGTGTTCAACTAAATACATTTATAACAACATATTGGAACCTAATCAAGTATTTGCAAAGAATTCCTCACATTAATTAGTTTCAACTGCCATTCCATTTAAATTCTTGTCAAAGTAATTGAAATTTAAATTCTTTAACTTTAGCTCATTATCTTCTTCGAAATTACTAAATCTTCTTAGCGGCTATGCTTAAATTATCCATTGTGACGGAAATCAGCAAAAGTAAGAACTCCATATCTGAATTAATCTCAATTACTCTGTCGGGATTTCTTTAAATCCCCACAGTCAATTTTATTTTGCAGCAACTTTTCATATTACTCTCGCTTTCAATCCAAGCTTTCTTGCCAGAATGTAAATGAGCTAGTGCGCGTGTATTCAAATAAGGTAGTAAGAAATGAGTATTTCAGGGAAGGTTTTTTAGAAGGTGATTTTAGAGAGCGTGTTCTGTTTGCCTGAAGGCCACTTTTCTGTCTTTGATTTGATTTGCTAGCTTTGATTTGCGCTTCTAGCCATTAAGTTTGTTTACTCCGAATTTTACGAGTCAGAACCTGCCTGTCCGTTAAGTAACCCATGAAAAGCCATTAGGCTAACTTAATTGTATTCGAAGTTACGTGTTACCTTTTGAGTTAAGCCAAAAGTGTTGGCTTTTTGTAAGCACTAGTCTGTGCCATTTCTGAATAACACAGAGTTAATAAAGAGTCCTTTACACTCTTTCTTTGGATTTTGTCATTCCTAGGGATTATTCCCAATACAGTCTATTAACGTCTAGTAAGTTTATATGCTCGCTAAGAATAAAAACGCTATAACTCAACTACTCGCGCTTTGTTCTCCGCATGTCAGTCTCAACTATTCTTGCTGTCTTCTTGATTTTTTTATTTAATCGTTTCTCTGCACATTTTTGAATATAGTAAATTATAGGAAGGGAAATAAAATTAAACGAAATAAACAAAACAAGAAATACCTTTTAAGAAATTATGACATCCATTTCTTACAGGAAGTAATGGCGCATTTCCTTTTCACACATTTATGGTATGATGTTGCGTGGCCCCAACTTGTCAGCAACAGTAGTAGTGACTGCTATGAACTGTAAATTATACAAACTCGTAAGAAGGGTTTAAATCCCTTTTTATTTCACTTTAGAAATCCCAGTTGTGTTCACTTGACGCTCACAAACTACGCCGACCCGGCGGTTAAACCAAATAGAAAAGTACAACTAAAAATAAATGACAGGATGAATAAATAACGAAGTCACTATCTACGAGGCTCTATAATCGTAACTAACTTAACCACGTTCTAAGATACAGCTGCGATTCAGCAAACTTACTGATTAAGAAGTTGAAAGGTTCCACGAACTGCCGAAATAGACACACAGGCCGAAACTCGCGGTTCTTAAATTTCTACCTAGCAACCTTCACGCTCGCGATTCAAGAAGCACACTTACAATCTCGTTTCCCTTCTATTTAACTCAATTTACTTCTGCTAAAAATTTGAATACTCTGCGCGTTCTACTACGATTTACATACTCTGGCATTGGCAATTCCAGGGGAAAATAAAGGCTTGACAGGAAAGATAGCTTAAACTTAAAATAAATATTAATTAAAATAAATATAAACCCTACAATGGTACAGTGTTTGGTTTATTGTGTCAGCAATAAGATCGGGAGTTCAATTCCCCTAAGGGTGCAGTTGAATTTTCATGTTTTCCATTCATGTTTTCCCAAATATGTAGCAGGCTTAGGAACCGTAGAGAAAAAAAAAATTTAAGAACTCGCTGCATTAGCATGCAGTAATCTGGTAATCAATGCAATTAATTTGTGTTTTTTTAATAAAAGTTTAAAGTTAAAAAAAGTTAATCAATGCAGTAAACCTATCTAAAGTGACCTCATACATAGAAGAAAAGCATTTTAAGTAATGGAAAGTCATCTTAAGGACAGTTTACTATGTTTATTTACAAAAGGATAATGTCTTATTTAATGTTCTATTTAAGCAGTTAACAGATACTCCCACTGTTCCCTAATAATAGTAGCAGTTTATGAACTTAATTTCTCTCATAATAATAATAACAAAAGAAAATAAATATAGTACGCAATATTTATTATAAAAACTAGATTAAATTGAACAATAAACTAAATTATTACTCCTAAATTTTGAGTGTTCAGAAATTTTCTGGATTTCTCAATAACTTTCTTCCTACATTTTAAAAGTGTTTAAACTTGCAAGCAACGTCTCTTGGCTGCGAAGCTTGGCTTATGGCTCCTATATGCGTAAGCTCAAAATTAATGGAGCCATGTTTCTTCATTGCTTCCAGCATAACATATTATTGAGGTGACCGAAACTTATTATCCAGTATTTCGGGAGAAATATTATCAAAGGCTATGTTTACTGCTCCTATGGTGCCTCTTCTGCTAAGAGGAATATGTGTAAGTTTCTCAGATTTTTCTCCATAATATTTGAATTTATGTCGATAGTTTTGTTTTCTCAAAGAATCAACATTAGCTTAATATTCTCCTTGACAATTATTTTCGGAAGCACATTTCCAAATTCTTGGTATTCTGCTGCAATGAAATTGTTTCGCAGCTAACGTAATTGCACATCTTTGCAACTTTTTGTTTTTCTTCTAATGCATCAAGGACTGGACAATCGCAATTCGATCTTTGCTTGAAAATTGTCTTTTTTTACCTTACTTTTGCAATGGGCTGGTATTCAACTGAAATAAAACAATTGATTGAAAGTTGTGTGAAAACAAATGACAGATGTCATGCAACGTTGATTTTGATTGAAGGCTTCGCAATTTTGCGCTACAGCATAACCTAAACTTCATTCGCTAATAATTCCCGTTTAAATATTCACTTGCTACTATTATTATGAATATCTCTTATTATAGCAAAGCATGCTAGGGTCAGCTGCCTAAGAGAAGGGATGACTTCTTGGAGAAAGTTCTTGAAAAAAATTATCTCGTAGCTACTGTGGTTTTATTTATACTGCGCACGAGTTGAACCACAAGAAAGCTTATGCAGCCAGCTTATTTGCAGGGATTTGGAATTTAATAGTTCGTCTTTAATTTCAGGGAGTGTACTTCAATTTAAAACACACCCAAGTGCATTCAGTTACGGCCAAATGCTTGTCATAAATTATTTTAACAGAAATCCTGCTAAGTTAACATTAATTTTAAGCTAAGTTAACTTTGTTTTTAACCTTTTGTTACAGATTTCGCTAATTGTCTCTCTAAATAATAATGACTGCATTGAAATCATCCGCCATACATTCTGCATGGATGAAGGCATTTGTAAATAACTCCCACAGTGTCAAGCAGCTGCGAGCAGACTATAATGACGTAGTATATGAATGCTACTTTCTTAACCGACTGAAACTGTTGAACTCATGTTGCTGAATTAGCCGTAGTATTATATTATGAAGTTATGTTTAACACACATACTGCTATACTAAAACACTTTCCTAAAGTTTAGAAATACAACACGAATGTTTTCTTTGTCAAATATGTTGATATTACTAGAAATATTATGAGTTTATTATTCTCTTTATAGGACGTTCCACTGGCACTGACGACAGAGAAAATTAATCATTCTACCTCAAATGGAAGAATCACAAATCACATTTACCATCCACTTCGCAATTCCGTCCTTTATTTACAACGTCGCGACGGCAGTTATCCACCATCAACTCCTCCTCCTTTGAAATCCAAACTAACGGTCACGCATTCTCATTCTGCACCTGCATCAACGATTACCTCCAGTCAACAGCAACTGACGCCTCCAAAAGTCAATTCTTGTCAGCCTCCCAAGAAACGACCAGCAGACAACAGTACTGTGGAGGCCAAGTGCAAGGCGGCCAAGAGAGCTAAAGTCGTAAGAAAGCTTAATTTTGACGAGGACAAAAGTTCTCCAGTTTCAGGAACATTTATTAGAGACATAGACGACGACGAAGTTATGCTTGCAGCTTCTCATCCGTCGGCCGTCAAGAGAGGGGATATTGATCCCAGCCTCAATGTTGTAGTAGTCACAGAAGAAGCCAGAGCGGAACTAGCCAAGATTGAAAACAAAATCGGAGATTATGTCTGCCAGCTCTGCAAAGAACATTATGATGATGCCTTTGGGCTGGCACAACATCGTTGTTCACGAATCGTGCACGTAGAATATCGCTGCCCTGAATGCGACAAGGTTTTTAATTGCCCAGCGAATCTGGCGTCCCACCGAAGGTGGCACAAACCCCGGCCTCCAGCTGGAATGAAAAATTCTGCTTCGTCCAATCCACCTAAGTTGATACCCAACAATGCTAAGAATATAAACAAAAGTGATATTAAAGGATCATCGAATGATGGAATCAGCAGTATTGGAAACAAAACCCGTGATAGTTTCACTACAGACCCTAGTGATACAGAGAGTGTCAGAAACACGCCTTCCCCTGAAATATCTTCGAACAACAAGTTCTCCACATCCAGCGAAGAGAAAGACTTTGAATGTCATTTGTGCAGCAAGAAGTTTAGTCAATACTTTCACTTCAGAAAGCATTTATTGTCTCATCTTACCACAAATGCCAATGGCCAGTTAGAAAATGAAGTCATCCAAACTGTATTTTCGAAGAATATTTCGGAAAAGCGCACGGCACTTGCTCGTCTCAACGTCACTCCACCGCCTGAAAATGAAAAAGTGGAGAAGGCTGGCTTTACTTGCACGATATGCGGGTTGCTTTTCCAAACAAAAACGGAAATGGAACAGCATACGTTCAAACATGACGAACTCAAAGGAATTCAGTGCAAATATTGCCCGAGTATTTTTTACAGTTCTGCGGGACTGACTCGACATATCAATAAACATCATCCCAGTGAAAACCGTCAAGTTCTTCTCCTACAGGTACCTACTGTCCGTCCGCTTTCCACGTAAAGTTTTGGAAGCTTCATTTGCAATGTTCCCCTGTTCTGATGATATTACCAAGTGAGATATGGAAGTATAAACTTTAGTCATTTTCAAAAAATTATAAGTGAATATTCTAGTCTTTTTTGATTTCCTGTATTGTTAATATTTATAAATTTTTATTCTTAATATGTGACTAACTACTATCAGACCCGAATGTGCAGTATGTAAAGCAAGGAAAAATTAATAGTGTCATTTTTTTCGACAGCTTGTAATTAATAATACTGTCATTTTCTCAAGAGATTATAACGGATTAATATGAATACATTAGCTTATATAACTATAATTATTTAATTAAACATGATCTCGAACTTTTTCACGGGCAAGAAATTTTTTTATTTGGCTTTTGACATGAAATCAAAATCGGAATATGAAATATCAAATTATATTTAAATTGGATAAATTTTAAGTCATACCCTCGCTAACGACTTTTTGTTCCATTAATATTAATTTTAATAATGATTACATCAAAGAGATCTTTGTTACAGAAAAAAGATACAGATTTGTTACAGATTTTGTTATAAAAATGCTTTGAATATAAGATTATATAGGCTTCGATAATGCGTTTACATAATGCAACTTGCAAGTGAACAGCACCGCTAAGTGATTATTTCATATAGCATACATTAAAAATATAATTTCTCTTAAAATTTAAATAGTAATTAAATAGTTAAATTGTTTAAAATTGAATACTTATTATGTCACCTCTTATTTAAAAATGCTACAGTAATACATCATAACTTATAAAAGGATTCTGCCCCAATGCTTTCAAATATTTCAGAAGTATTATATTGACTTTCATCTTTTATTTACTTTAAAATAAATTAGTAATAATATTTTCTTTTTAATTCATTTTTGAATTAAAATTGTATAAAATAATTTTTTGCTAAGATATTAAAGGGCTGATAGTAGAGTTACACTTATATTGCTGTGCATATTTAGTATTATGATTTCCATTCATTACTAGTCATGATTGCATTTTGTAATTCATGTAAATATTTCTCCTTGCATAGCGTAGCTCAGCAGCGTCAAAATATTTACTATTCACTTCATTGAAATTAATGGGAAATCTTACTTTTGATATTTATATTTAAATAAAATGTTTTTGGTTTAATAATTTTTCCGAAGACAACTTTCAAACTGTACCAGCCTCTCATTTTATATTTACTAAAAGCTACTGGAAAGAAATACAAATTATAACAGTATTTGTAGACAAGACAAGGATTAATTAGTTAATCTATTTTTAGACAACAAAGGTTTAATAATTTTTTAGCTTTGAGATTTGCAATATATGATGATGATAATAATAATACATTATTCTCAATTTTACTCTAAGCATTTAAGCTTCTGTTACAAGTAATGAAAATTAAGCATATGAGTTTAATTACTAAATTATGTTCTTAGTAAAAAATATCATCATATTCGTTACCATGTCTCAACCAGTTAAAACATAATGAATATATTTTATTAGAAATTCGATGGCAACAAGAGATTATGCATTTAAATTTCCTCTATAAATTACTATTATAAACATATTAGTATTAATATTGTCGTATTGGATCAAATATCAAATGGTTTTATTCTTCTAAAAATGGGTTTGTGTGAAACAAACCTTATGTTCAACTTGTCATTTAAGAAATATATTAAAGAAATTATTACTTAATTTTTGCCTTAAAATTTAAACATATTTGCTTTATCTCTAGGTATGATATGCACTATTTAATTATCTCTTTTGCAGAACAATATACAAAGGTCCTGTATGTGATGCTGTCTTATATGCAAACATCTCAGAATGCAGGATGTGAGGCCGACTTATATTTGAGCCAAATAGGTATCGCTTGAATGACAATAGCTTCATTTATATGCAAATAATCATAAAGTATCTTAAAATATTCGAGAATTAAAGACATAGCAGACATTCTGTCGGCAGTATATGCAAACAATAAGATCTATAAGCATAAAAACGAGTGTTATGAACACAACGAATAAATTGCGTTGTAAAATAGATGTAGCGGGCTGACAAAAGCGATGATTTTGTTTTGCGTCCTTCAATTGGGTTATGTTTCTGGAAACTAGTTTCAGCTTTTTGCACCTGGCTTAAATCACTCAAAAAGTTTGATGGCGAAAAGTTTTCGGGGAAATTGCTTATTCCTTTTTCGATGGATTTTGAGTTGGAAATCAATTTTGCGGAAACCCAGGGCAATTTGCCAATGTCGTTCGCAATGTGGGAAAAATGTGATTTTTAACCCGGTCCTTTGAGCTTTTATTTTTTACTTGTAACAGCACTGTAAATAGATGTTAAGTTCTGTCTGATTTTATTTCTTTACATTTAAGGAGCAAGCACACACTCTTTATCTTTTTAATAAGTAAACTATTTAAAGGTACAATCATTGCAGTTTACACTCGAAAGTTTTAGCCGAAATTCAGTTCTTGTCATTCATAAAATAAACTTATCCTGAAAGTAGTATTGAAAAAACGTTTTTATATTTTGAGCAATTTTTTAGACATTTAATATTAAAATTGCATTTTTCTATCATAACGGATACATTTAGGAAAAAAATACTTTCGATGTACTTTTCTCGACCACATCTAGTATTGAAATCATACTTTTACAACTGTGATTTAAGTGTAAATATAAAATCTAAAATGAAAGTCGCACGTTTATTGTCAGACTTAGAAAAAATACAATTAATTTAAGGGTTTCTTTTTTCTCGATGAAAAACGTTTTTTCGAATATCCCATTATGAATTTATTACATATCGTGTAAATAAAAAGTACAAATATCGTTTTTCTTTTTATTAAAAAACAACTAAAATAAAAATTGATAAATTCGGTGGCATCTGCTCAATTATTTTTATATTTGATTAAAAATATAGCTTTTAACGCTCCCCATTATATCGAAATGTCTTCGAGAACTGAATAACAAAAATTGGAAATAGCAATTTTATGGCATATTTTTGTTTTCAACAGGAAAATAAAGCAGAATTTCGCTGGTTATTAAACTCAATCACTCTATAATCTATCACTATTTCCTGTCAGCTCTCGGTTTAACACTCAAACGAGTAAAACATATGGCGGAATCTTTTTTTCTTTTTGATTCCAGGAAGTGAAGATCCTCCATTGAGAAGGGATCCAGCTGTGAAAACTTTAACCGCATATGCGAGTGGTCATATTTGCATTAAACCAAAATAGTGACAGACTGCATAAATGCGAGTAGCCATTTATTTATTTATTTATTTGAAGTATATCATTGTAATCGGTGAATGGGTACCTGATTCTCAGTAACTAAGTTATACACACATGTACTTGCTTCCTTTTCATTTTCAGTATATATTGAAAAGTAAACATTTAGCTAAACATATGGTTTTAAACTTTATAAATAATCAAGCGGCGGCGTTTTATATTAGCAATGCTGGAGCTGAACATCTTGCAAATTATTTTTAAATACATTTTTAATAACTCAAAATGCACACTGGATTTTAAAAGTTTTGTTTTCGATGCACAGTTTGTTTTTCCACGTGTAAATGACTGCTTCTCCAGACAATTATTTTATTGCAATTTTTTTTTTTTTTTTTTTTTTTTTGTTTTTTTTTTGTTTTTGGAGAACAAAGTAAATTCCAAGCATTATAAAGATTGGTTTTAGCTTTCCGAACTAATTTCAGGCAAAACATTAAAGTAGTTTAAAAAATGCTTATATGAAAGTAATTATCAATCACAATAATATTGTATGGATATATTGTAGTTAGGCTATGATTTTTATTATATCTGAATTTCATAATGACATGGTTCTCACCCTTAAAATTTCAAAATTATCAGACTAATATTTTGATTTAAATTGAAGCATTAACAGTAAAAATGTAGAAGAAACCCGAATGGACCTAAACCATGTTTTCACAGTCTCACTGATACAAAAAGATAATTAAATTGTCACGATCATTCTCAGCGACAAAAGTAGAATCTACGCCTTAAAACTGTTTGAATGTTTTGAAGGATTAAGGTAAAATCTTTGTCAGCAATTATTTTACAATAAAAAACATTGTGTTTTCTGCTTCTAACTGATTAACCTTTCGAAATCCTTTTGGAGAGTAGATTGCTAATTAGAATCATCAAGCAAATAACGGCAAGACAAAAGTAACCTTTAATGACAAATTTGCAAGGAGCATAATCATATCGGATAGGGGGAATCTAGAATCTCAGACAAGCTGGCTTCTGAATTTGCTTTTATTATTCCTACGTAAGCCAAGATAATGTATTGCAAAGTTTGAAGGGTTTCATTTTGGACATTAAATTTTTTCACGTATAAATGACTGCTTTTTTCAAGCACCTGGAAGAAACCCTCTTCGAGATGTTCGTCATTTTTAGTTTGCGGATTTCGTGTTTTGGTAAAATATAAAGCATTTCTGCTAAAGAGAACTGTTTGTTGTAAGTCTAGCACAGAATCGATCCTGAGAATAATTTTCGAGCTAAATCTTGAATTGTTAAGTATTTTCTTCATTAAATGAATACACAACTCTCCAAGTTTACAGTTAAATAATATCGCAAATATTATTCTTTTCCCTATCACTTGTCTTTGCCATTTTGAACAGCTTGTTCTAAATATAGGATTTTAGATTTTATATTATTAATTTTTTAAGTTGATTATTTCTTAAACGAATACGCCTATTACGACTACCTAACTTATCTAGGAATAAACTAAAAAAAAAAAAAAACTGAAGCTAATAAAACTGAAATATTCATGGCAAGATCCAACTGCAGTTTCTTTTCACACTAAAAAAGCTGAAGCTAATAAAACTGAAATATTCATGGCAAGATCGAACTGCAGTTTCTTCACTTACGATTTTTATGTTTTTAATTTTTAAAATATTTTAAGAAGTTTTTGAAATTTCAGTGATGAACCTTTCTAGTTGTTAGAATATAATATGTTTTCTGATTTTAATTGTTTATTTATTTGTTTATATATTATTACTTTTTTAATGAAGGTTATGGACAAAATAGAATTTTCATGCAATTAGTGTTAAGTACATAAATTGTCAGAAAATCTTTCATGAAACCATTAGTTATACAGAAAAATGTCTCTAACTTGTTTTTTTTTTCAATACCATGGCAACATTTTCAGTTTTATGAATAGATATGTCGAAGCAAAGCATTTGTTGGAAATATAGCAAATTTCCTACTTCCAGCATTTTGACAGCTGATGCAAATTTATTCAGATATGGCGCAAGACTTAACGTGTACACACAATCATCGGTTATCGGAATTAGTTCCTTAACCTCTGCTTGCGCTGCAGGAGCAGCTATGGAAATAAATGATCGGTCTCCTCCCCCCCGCCGTTATCAATCTTACAATCCATTTTTTTGAACGTTTTTTCATACAATAATCAGTCACATTCGATTCGTCTGTTTAAACAGGTCTCCTTAATTGGTTTTCGTATCGGAAATAACTGAAGATTTTTTTTTTTTTGGTTGTAATTTAGTAAACACAGCTGTTATAGTTTTTATTTCTACATTTATCGGCTGAATACACTTCTATTTATCTTATGTCTATTGCTATTGATGTCTGGATCAGGGTCACAGTTACAGCGGCGGTTAATTCGAGATTGTTGATTTATAAGGAATTTATTTTCGACACATACATGCATGCACTAGTTGCTGTTCATTACGATAAACCAGCAAAATGTTTACATAGCTATGAGAAAAATTGCTTTTAAAATGAGACTACACAAATATAAACATACAGTTCATTTTATTATATTGTGGATCCAAGAAACGCATTTATTTCATTCTTAAAAACTTTTTTTATTGATATCTTTTAGGTAATAACTCAAGCTTTAATAGGAAAAAAAGGTAATAACAGAAAAAAACTTATCTATTTAAAAAAATATGTAAATCCGATCTTGTATACGTACAGTGTATAAATGCAAAACGTTAATACTGAAAAATAATAAAATAAAAGTGTTCTGGGAAAATAGCCTTAGAATTTCAAAACTATTTAATTTACATTTGAAGGTGAGTAACGTTTTTAATCAAGATTAACAGGAGCACATGTCCCTTGAGCAAATTAACCTTCTTCTTCAAAAGAATAAGTGAATATGATTTTGGAAACATGAAAAAAAATTACATTCCTAGTGATGACGATAATAGTTCATTCCGTATACAGGAAATTTTAAAGTAATTAAACTTACATAAATAAAAGTAATAAACTTAAA